TGGAGGACTATGAGTCCGCAGGGACGACGGTCACCTTCTTGCCAGCCAAGATGGTGTGGCTCCGCAAGGCTGGGGGGCGCTTCAAGGCGGTTCCCAAAGGTGTTGACCCGCAATCGCTGTTTGGAGGATTTCCTGCCGGAGCATAGCGAGGGAGAGGAGTGGTTTACGCTGGTCCTCCGCGCGCTCTATGGTCTGGATCAGTCGCCTCGTGACTGGTCCATAGTCCGAGACAACGACTTGAGCGGGGCAGTGGTTCAGATGCAGTCTTTCAGCCTGCAACAAAGTCGGGTTGATGCAAACATGTGGTTCCTGCAGGAGTCGAGTGATCATCTCAAGGCTCCGGGGGAGTTCGAGCCCTTGGCAGTCCTGCTGGTGTACATCGATGATTTCCTGGCGTTGGGCTCTCCATCTGCGGTCCGAGCTATGCTGGACACTGTCTCCAAGCTGTGGAAGTGCGGAAAAGTGGAGTGGATTGATGAGGTTGGGAAGGCCGCCGTGAAGTTCTTCGGTTTTGAGCTGCGTTGGAGCGGTGGTGACTTGCTACTGTCCCAGTGCAGCTACATCGAGGACCTAGCCCGTCGATACCCGGCCACCAAGACCTCACTCACGCCTCTTCCGCCAGGTGCTGTGGCTGTGGAAGAGGTTAGCAGCAATTCCCCAGAAGATCTGGCAGCTTGCCAGTCCCTTCTTTCTGGGGGAGTTGATCTGGTTGGCATGCCGGACCAGGCCTGACATAGCATACGCTGTGTCCAGGCTAGCTGGTTTAATGACCCGGAATGCGACAGCAGTCAGGAGTTTGGTGCATCATCTTCTTGGCTATGTGATTGGGACTGCAGACTTGGCGCTCAGGTACGCTAAGGAACCCGTCAACGAGCAGTGGCTCTCGTTGCGGGGGAGCCAGCAAGTGTTGGTGCAGACTGACGCTAGCTTTGCTCCTGCTGGAGAAAAGAGCCATGAGTCGACGTTCCTTTTCGTGCAGGGTCACCTGGTTGGGTGGCTGACGGCGCGCCAACCTTTCATGGCTGCTTCTACCGCGGAGGCGGAGCTGCTCTCCACCATGACTGGCTTTGTTTATGGAAGGGCTCAGGGCTATGTTTGTCAAGAGCTGTGGGGGAGCAAGGCACTGCTCACGGTCCAGAACGACAACACCGCTGCCATCAGCATAGTGTCGGGCGATAGCACCAATTGGAGAAGCCGCCACCTTCGCATCAGATCGCATGTCGTTCGACAAGCGGTTCGAGGCGGTCATCTTTCTCTTTCGCACGTTCCTGGAGAATGGAATGCGTCAGATGCCGGGACCAAGTCACTTCCTCTTCCTAGGCTCAAGTTGTTGAGGGATGGCATGGGTTTGGTAAACATTTCCGTGATTGCTGAGAGGAGTGCAGTTCGGAAGTTGCAAGGGGTGGTGTTGGTGTTGACGGTCGCTTCTGCGGCTGGACAGCGTAGTGAGAAGGTAGCATCTTCTAAGGGAGAATGGGAGCTTTTGACCCTTATGTTCATCGCCCTGTGGGAGCTGTGTAGATGGGGGTTGCAAGTTTTGGTGCGTGTGTTCCAGCCAAGGGTCCTTGAGCCTGAGCAAGAGCTTGAAGGGGAGGAGCAGCCTGATCATGAGGATGATCTGGTCGAGCTTCCCCATCGTCCAACCGTTGCCCCAACCCCTGTAGGACCTGTCCTGCCCCCAGCTACTGAGGAGCGTCGAAGTCTTTGATGCTGGGGACCCTGAGGCCGTTGATCGGGCTTTTTCGCGAGCTTCCACCGGGTCAACAGTTTGTGCTGAGGTATGTCGACGATGAGCTGGTGGTTCAGGGTAGGGATCAAGGGGGTGTGTTCGAGGTTGATGAGGAGGGTCAAAGGGTCAATGCAGGTAGGTGGATTCGGGAAGCAGAAGGCCGCGCAGCGGCCGAAGTGTTGAGACAGGGTACTCGCGCCTTTCTGCGGCCTCACGACATGAAGGCTCAGATTCGGCAGCGCAGAGGTCAACCGGTGTACCGACCGGAGCCTGAGCCAGAGATGCCCACTCCAGTAAGAGCAAACGCTCCACCCGCAGGTCCTGTAGGAGCAGACGCTCTTCCCGCCAACCCTGGATGGGTCAACCCTAGGCAGCTGGGGCCGGTGATCGGAGGGTTTCAGTTTGTGCAGTTCGGGCTTGGGCGGTGGCTTGTTGACAGGGAGGAGTTGCCAGGACAGAGGATGCCTAACGGAGGGTACCGTCGTGGACTCTTGAATATGCCGCCTGATCCCCCTTTAACCCTTCGACCTGATTGGGATCCTTCACCCTTTCAACCTACCTTAAGGTATGTTCGGTCTATGGCCACTCCCTGGGGCGGACCTGAGTCCTCTCTTCAACAACTGCCTGCCCTGCTGGGACCCAGAGACACCTGGTATGCTCCGGACACACGACCGTATGTGGTCATCAGGTTCCATTACCGACCGAGGAGGCAGCTTTTCTGTCCCCCACCAGGGCTTCAAGTTCCGGCTGCCTTTCGAGGTTTCAGAGGGGCAAGGAGGACGTTGGGCGTCTTGCAAGACGGCTCGAACAGGACCTTCATTTACGACGACGATTTTCATCGAGCCAGAGAACCCACACTGAACCTGCACAGCCTTCTTATGGCAACCTGGATAGGCCGCACCGAGTTCTGGGTCGAATCTCAAACGTGGCCCTGATGCTGCCTCAAGTCGCGTGGGACACGCGAGGGGGAGTGCGAACCAGCCCAGGACCATGGCATGTGGACAACGATGGCTTCGACGGCTGTATGGGCTCAGGTGGGGACAGGACTTCCATTTTTAATGTAGGCTAAGCCATGCACAAATCAAGAAGTGTACAGCGTACAGCAGATACTTTCAACTCGTCTTGTTCCTTCCTTGGAAAAGAAACTTTGCTCCTAATCCTCCGGCTTCGGGGTTCCTATCTTCAAGGTACAGAAGTTCAAGAGACTTGTCAACCTCAAAACCACACGGGCCAGGATGGTTCGAGGGACTAGGAGTTGCGGATTGGCAGAACTTCAAAACCGTGAGTCCAACACTTTCAAGGTGTGAAACCAGCAAGCTGCGAGAGTGGAAGCATTGACTGAGTCTTAGGGTGCTCGAGTGCACATGAAAGCTGTTGTGCCATGGGGAAGTTGCTGCATCTGCGTGGTGACTGTAGACGCTTCGTAAAGAACCATGTTTCTCTGCGCGCTGCGCAGCATGATAGGCCTGGTACTCGATGCCCTGACATTTCTTTGAATTAGAAGATTCGGTTCTGTGAATCGGTGCAGACGGTGGCGCCCTGGTAGTGACCCCGACGTCTTGAATCCGAGCAAGAATCCGTGAAGTAGATCAGACAATTTTAGAAATTTTGTGCAGGGAGGTTGCGCGCAACAGCTGAGAGTTCCTTGATTCGGACCATTCAGCTAGGTGAATTCGCCGGTCAGATGCCATAAGAAGCGGAAACGCTTTCTCAAATCAGCTATAGTCTAAACTCCTAGCATCCCCTCTAGTAGTCACCTGTATAATCCCCTACATACTCAAATCAGCTCACAGCAGTGCTGTGGTTTCGCTCCAGGAATTCCAGCAACTGCTTGAACATGGGGGCTTTCCAAGTGCGGCTGCTGTAGCAGTCCATGACTTGAAGCTATCTGTTACAATGAGCTTGCTATTTCACAAGGCCTTGTCTCCTTGAAGAACTGGTTCAGATTCCTGCGAACTGCCATGCGCTCTGCTCAATCCACTCATGAGCCCCTCTCGCAGGCATTGCTAATGCTTTGCCCTTGGTCGTTCACCCACGATGGATATGAAACAGAAATTCAGGAGTCTCCAGCCTCTGCAGCTGGTGCCTGGCGGCAACCATCTTATTTCATCACAAGCGGAAGAAACACTTGTTCAGCCTGAATCGATTCTGCACTTGAAAGCTTCTGTTGGGCGCCTCTTGCTGTTGGCCCAACATTGACGCAGTCCAGAAACCAGATTACGATGGTTGTCTGTTGTTGCAGAAAGGCCCCCAGTGTACGCACTTGTTTGAAACATCAAGCAATTGCTACGGCCTTCGGGCTGGCTGAAGACGTACTGGGTGAGCGGTCAAATGCTTCTGCCTAGCAGAGCTAATGCAGGGGTCGCATCTCACTCGGCAACCGACCCACATTCCCAAGCCTCGTCATCGTACAACGTCAGAGTGACGGACAACAGGCAGCTGAGGAAGCCGATTTCGTCCATCATTTGGTCCCAGCCAAAGTAGAACCACGACCCACCTGCAGCCGACTGCATCATTGTTGTGGCTCCAACGGATGGCATGAACTATTCGATTGCAGCACTGCAAGTAGCAGGCGATACTCACATGCCCACCAGACCGAGCTGTTGCATGCCAAATCTGCCAGCAAGGAAGAATTGCTGGCCACCACCAAGGCCTGAACAAACGCTTCAGCAGCGGTCGCGGCAAAAACAGTGCAAAACCCAACTGCCTGAAAAACACGAGAAGCGCCGGGAGCAGCGCGCTCTGATTCCAGCGGACGAGAGCTTGGGCTGTGTATCCTCTTGGAGCTTCAAGCTTCCACATGATGGGACCATCCATCACGTTCCTTTGCAGCACTAACACCGAATCAGCGCGGTTTTTCGGTCCAAGGCGGTCTAAGACTCATACTTGCAGCTTGCATGAACGATTTAGAAGGGGCACCCAAGAAAGGCGAAGAAGTACACCAAAGCGCAGAGTCGAACGCCGCATTGATGGACCTGGCAGGAGTCAGCACCATCACTGAAGCCTGTTGTCTGCTTCTGAAAATCTTGGACCGACTTCGGCATGATTTGGCGTGTCTTTATCCGTCACACCTGCATTGCTCTCCATCTGGGCAGGCCCATCTCGCCACGTTGTCATATATGATGTCCAACTGTTGCGGGCACCTTTGCTTGACTTGAGCACTTGAGCCAACGGCTACCAGAGACAAGGCCGCCGAAGAACTTTTGATATTTGGTTCACAGTGCCGTCATTGCACCAGAGCACTGAAAATACAGTGAGCCATCTGCGTCTCCTCCTGCGGGCAGCCTGAGAGCTTTGACGGACTCGAGCAAAGCTCCACGCTGTGCACGTAGCTGTTGGCGGTCTCAGGCACAGGGGCACAGGGGCAGAGTGACAGTTTCTGAGAGGCCCTCGACTCTGCATGTGATCGTCTTCAAATTTTTGCAGCTGCCACTGTGAAGTGTTGATGTGAGCTGGACACTTGGACAATCGGCTCACTGAGTTGGACGATCAAGCACCGGCCTGCGCGATGAGCTTTAGCAGTGGGACCATACCCATTGGATTCTTCGCGAAATCACCCATGCCATGCATCATCACAACCTCATTCGCTCGTCCATGTTGAAGGACATGCTTGTTGAAAGATCCAGCAAGTTTGGGTGGGCGTGATGACTGTAACTGGGGGCGTCGCAGGCCGTCCAGGTGCTGCAGGCCCTGCCCAAAACCGCCATCTTAATTGTCTGACAACTTCTGATCTAGATTGGACCTTCAGCATCCAGCGCAGCAGCATCGGGCGAAAACCGCCTCAGGAGCGTCTGAGCACTAAGCTGACACTGTACGTTTTCACCTTTCTGTATTGACCCATGTCCGCACAATCCTAGTCCATGCGAACACTTCGAATTGCAGACAAGACAGCAAAGAGATACAAACAAGTGCACAGAACAGGGCTTCACGTGCCAGGGTGCACCTCCGACTGCTGGCCCTGGTGCAGGCAGAGCAGACTAAATTTGCTGAGGCGCAGGATTGACGCCACCCCCAACCTTTGGCAGGAAATGCGCACGAGGTGTCATGCACTGTCGTTCGATAATGCATCGCTTGATGCACCTTAACTTGCTGACCACTCCGGGGAAAGTGTTCCAGGCACTAGCAGAATCCGCCCGCTTGTCTGGCAAACTTCTGCCCCTCCCCGAGATCAAGGTAAAAGCACCTCTGGCATACCTGTCGAGCCTCTTTTTTCAAATGCTGTGACAGCCTCTGGAGGGCTAGAATCATGCCCTTCGTACGTAGGATTTGCATATGGCAAGGACCACACAAATAAGCAGGGCATGTGAGTGAATGTGTGCCTTTTTGGTCTCCGCACTCAGTCCTCGGAGCCCTCAGTAGGATCTCTGCATCGTGGCTTTCGGCAAGGATGGTTACTTGGGTGGCCTGGTATTTAGGTTGCAGCCCATTTCAGCAAGGTCTCGGCAAGCTTGGCTTGCAAAGTCTGTCTCGGGCTTTTGGCGGGACTTGGACTTAGAGAGGTTAGGGCTTTAGGAGCTGATTGTGTCACCCTTGCCCACACTGCTGGTCGACTGTGTCATGTGTTTTGGTTGGTAGAGGGCTTGTCTGGGCCACGGACATGACAAAATGTTGCAGACGACACTTCCGAAGCTTGGAGCCCAGCTCTGCCAGCCGCGCTGCTTCATCTTCTGGCGCGGCCAAGGCCACAGAAGCCAAAGCAAACCTCCACCTCGTGAAGTCGGAAAGAAGTCGGAAACACCCTTTCACCCAGTCTACTCGTCATCCTCAGAATCATACAAAGGCGATTCGCGTGCTTGGAATTTGCATGCACATTTGGGCTTCGTGGAATGGGCTAGACCCCAGCAGTACCGTGAGGTGCATTTGTTTACAGGTGCCGCAAGGAACATCTCCTATGCCCATCCCAGAACAGCTGAGGTTGCTGCCACCGTGCCATAGGTCCTCGTGGGCACTTGGGGCTTGGGGCTTGTTGCTTCAGATTGCAAAGGACCACGGTGACTCTAGCTTGATACCAAAGCAGTGTCCAGAGCACATGGCCTCCCTTGCAGGGCATTGCAGCTGTAAGCTTTCCAAATCTCAACACTCGCAGGCTGGGGCGCCTATCACATGCTTTTGGCAGAGGCCCCCACTCGCCGCCGTAGCCGGCTCTATAATAAAACGTGCTTGGGCAATTAGCAGCTGCAGACGTTGTGTGCAATCTTCAAATCAACAGCGAACTTCCCGCTCCCATGTCTGCATTCTGCGGCAACCTACCAAAAACACAGAGGCCACATCAAACACCAGTGAGCGACGGTTGCACTGCTCCACTGCTTGAAGGCCCCCAGCAGGCCAGAGCCAGGCCCATCAGCGCTGGATGGGGAGTACCATCGAGGTGCAATGGGGAGCCTGGCTCGCACGAATTCCGTGCAAATTGGTAGTGCAGGGACTCTCGCTGAGATGTGGTATGCATGTGAGAGCTGACATCCGCTGCAGCCCAGAAGCTCCAGGCGCGGGGCCGGAGAGGGCTCACGGGCCATTCCCGACCTCGGCTTTGACGATGCAGACCCTCACACCAAACAACACCAAACAGCTAAACAACAGTCCTTGCTTCACACAGGCTAGCTGCAAGCAGTCTGGGCATGTTCTAAGAGGCGGATTCAGCATGCGACCTGGCTCGAGGTGGACATCCTTGACCTGCTCTCCCAACTGGCCAAGACGTCCGTGTGTAAGCTTAGCAGGCAACCCAAAATGAGCTGAACTGCTCAGGCCGCAACCAGGCGCAACGTCTTGGAGCATGGCTTCGACAAGCCAATCTGATCCAATCTGATTAATCGTTTGCTTTCGATATGTTGACGGAGTATATTCTTTTTCCAACCACTTCTCAATACCATGCCATACCGTTCTGAATTTTGTGCTCAAACATGCCCACTACGCTTCTAAAGGACTCAACATGACTCAACGCCGCCCCCGCTATCATTTAGCTCCAGCTTACAGCTGAGAATGTGAGAAGTGCTGCTGCTACGCTCTTCAACTGGTACATCTGCACTGGCTGACAGCACACAGGCTCCCCTCTTGGCTTTCAACAGAGTAGTTGCCTTGGTGCGGCTCAGCCGCTGCTTTTAAAAGAGTTGGAGCCCCGAAACCTGGCTGCGCCTTGGGCGTGCCTGGCCAGAATATCAGCCTCAGGATGCTAAAAAGATGTTGGTGCACAGCATAGACCTGGAGACAATCAATAAACTAGCATCGTGTTCTTGCTTAGGCGTGAATCCAGCCGTGCATGTTGCATGAATTCAATCAAGCAGGAGCCTCAAATCGGTTGAGGCTGCTCATTCAGGCTTATTCAAGCAGCAAATTGCTCTGTGTCAAAATGCTGCCGTCTTTTTGTATATGCAGGGTCATATCCGCTGCCTCAGCTTGCGCAGGATTCTCCATGGTGAAGAAAGCTGTGCGTGGCCGCCGGTGCGTTCGCCGCTCTTCTGGCAATGCCAAGCCTCTCTCCTCCACGTGCGCTCTCAGCAGCTTCAGCATAGCAACAGCGGTGGTCGCGTTGTAATGATGCAAAGGTCGCTGGAGAACCATGACCTCCGGATTCATGATAAGGGCTCGGGCCAAGCACAGCTTCACCTTCTCCGTGTATGTAACGCTTTCCATCCACGAGTTGTCGGTGGGACGACTCCAGGCATCCCCCGCCTTTCTTCTTCCCTCCCGCTCCACGCGGACCAAATCTTCCTCTACGAGCCTCAGGGTCGCCTTCATCCCCATCATCTCCAGGATCTTTCGAATCCGCATCGGTTCCACCGGCTGATCCCCGACACCAAAAACCAGGTTCACCCAGGCAGAAGCGTTCAGGATCAGCGGCTCCAGCGCCAGGTGGAGGATTCGAAGGTGCGACGGGATGAAGATAAAGCCATCCTGCGGGAAGATGATGTGGCTGAGCAGCCTGAGCAAGGTGGACTTCCCAGATCCGTGCTGCCCAGCAACAGCCACCAGCATTCCCTGAGGCACGGCCACATTGACCTTGGTGAAGAGCGTCCTGGCCACGTTTGCATAGGCCATGTCCTGCAACCTTATCTCAATGAGGTCTGTCTTGTACAGCACTTCCTCTGTGCCTTCCTGGTCCCCACTGAAAAGGGCGTCCCGTGCCTTTCTGGTGTTCTCTCGGCGCTGACGGCTTACGGCCTTCCAAGTGGGGAGGTCTGTCGGCTTGTTAAAAAGGACTGCGAGCGTGCGCACTGAGCTGGCTAGCTCCTTGATCTCGAGAGTTAGCTCATAGACACCGGCAAGTTGGGTGCTGATGCTGCCCAGGATGCTAACAGTTGCCAGAAACGTTCCAAGGGAGAGCTTGCCCGATAGGACGTTGCCGGCATCCACTGCGATGTAGAGACCTGTAAATCCAGGTCCGAGCCATTGAGGAAACATGGCATCATTGAGGCTAGCAAGTGCTGCTCGCTTCTTTGATGCGCGCAGCATCCCCGCACTTGCAGCAAAGGCCTCATTCATCTGCGGTCGCTGGAAGTAGTCAGATATCAGACGATAACGGTCACAGACTTCCGCCACAATCCGAAGGACCAATTCTTTCTCGCCCCCGCCGGCATTGGTGCGGCACAAGAGGTTCACAAGAAGCAGATACAGCAGCATACAAATGGGCATAACCAAAATGAAAATGAAGGCTGATGGACTTTCTTGCAACGTGAAGTACGAGAAAATACTCACTTCGCCGCTGATTGCAACAAGCTTCAGAAGTTTTACATATGTGGCTGCAGCACTGCTTGCATGCTCCATGATGGCTGACTGCATCTCCGATGGTGCCACAGAAGCTCGAGAGTCGTCGCTGTAGTTTAGATACTTTCGGAACAAGCAGCTTTGCAGAAAAAGACTGAGGTTTCCCAGCAAGTCCATGTGGACTTTCAGGACAGCAACGGCATGAACCGCTATCATTGGAGCCACAAAGAAACAACCCATGATCAACGCTGTGCTGACACGGTCAGGTAGGATGAGCCTGTCCTTAGTAGAAGCATCTTCTGTATTGAAGAGGACATCAACGAGATACATGCTGAGCAGTAACTCAATAATGGCGTAGCTGTTCCGGAACTGGTCCAGAATGAGGGTTAGCAGAGTGCGCCACCGGACACCAGGGACCTTGTAGCACAGCTTCCAATAGTCCCACAGAAGGCTAAGTGTACGGATGCTCTTGACTCCTTCCTCGCCCCTCGCCAGCTGCTCGGCGTACTTGGAGGTTGGAAAAGCATTACGATCGATGATCTTCACCCTGGCTGTCTTCAGGTAGATGCCTAAAGCACAGTTGTGCGGCCTGTGAAGCTTTACCTTGTACTCTAGGGTTGGGGACCAAAGCGGGCAGCTAATGGTTGCAATCTCAATGGACTTACGAAACTCCCCTGGCTGGAAGACCAGCTCACCAGACTGGTGTTTGTAGTTTCTGGCAGCCTTTGCTGACCCATCTTCTGTATAGTACTGCACCTTGATGATGCCCCTCATTGCTCCAAGACGCATGACATCCACTGTGAGGTGCGGCTCACTCTCGTCCACAAAGTAGATTGAGGTGGTGAATTGAACAATATCCATGTCACAACTGGCTCCAGCAACAACATCCTCATCCTCATCCTCCTCATCATCACCATCATCATCATCATCAAATTTCGGAAGAGAGTCGCCCTTGCGCTCCACGTGGGGCACAACTTGCGACAAGGACTTCCCTCTCATGGAGCACTGCTCCTCCTTTCAATCATGGGGGCACTTGGGCAACCTCCCCACCGCGTTCGTATTCCAGAGCCATCCACAAACTTGTGCCTAACCGTCATTGCGAGATGCTTGCAGACAGTAGCTTGATATCCCTGCTGCGCATAGTAGTAAGTGAAGCTTGCCTAGCCACCAAACTGCTCGAAATCACCGTCACATACCATTGTATACCTTAGGTCTCGATTTGGTGTAAATCGCTGAATGGAATGTCCACGATACTTCTTGTTTCGCTTGGTTTGCCTTGAGTCTCCTGCATGTTCTCTTGCCGCGAGAAAACTCCAAATTCTGGCATTAATATGTCTTGTCATTGAGCCGGGCTGAAACAAAGGAATGCCTGATGGAACAGAAGAATCTCGAACAGCAAAAGAGATGCATGCAGTTCCATAATGAAGCACTAGAGAAAGGCACAGACATGTGGAGTGTTGGAGGTGTCCTTGCGGGAGCTTTGCGCAACAGAGCAATTGCGGGTGCTGAGTTCGACGTCTCACCTTTGAAAGAGCACCGCACTGAGCTGCTATCCCAAAACGTGCTACGCAACCCATGCCCTCGAGTGACACACAAACACGGTCAAGATTTTATGCTTGCCTGACCTGACCCGCAGATCCTCTCCAGGTTGGCATGTTGAGCCGCTTGGCCAGGGCCTCTGAGAGTTGATCCAAGGCCAAGAAAACATTGATGTGCGTAACGCTAAAGGTTTTACGATGGCCATAACATCCCCGTCTACATTGCACACCGGTGAAGATCCATGAGGACGTCAAGCCCCCTGTAAAGACAAGTGCTTCACCATGTAAGCCGTACAATATTCGGGTTCTGAGATTCGATAGTAATCTGTGTAGCAAAACGGTGAGCTGCGTAAGCAAGAGCTCACGTCCAAAAACCCCCGTTTTGAGCGCATGCTTCCAATCTTGTCCCTTGCCCTTTGTAGATAGAAGTGCTGGACAAAAACCAACTGCTAGATTCAGGTCGTTGGAGTAGACACCCTCGGAGGGCACAAGCACGCACAACATGACACATGCCACCAGGCCACGAGATTCAAGAATTGTTTTGTGCATCTCACATTGTGCCATGCAAAAGTGTCGGATGTAGGAGCTGGCGCAGCTTCTTTGAGTTCCCGTTGACGCGTCCAATTCTTTAACCGAGCCTTGAAGCATCGTGAAGCTTTCTAAGCCGGATAAAGTTAGTAGAGCTCCGAGCTGAGGATTGAAGCTTCCAAGCAGCTTCATCCTTCATGGTTTACCTGCCCTGTCTCTACCTCTAGGTGAACTCATGTGAGGTCATTCGTTCTCTCATTCTTCTCTTTCTTTCCGCCGCTTCGTCCGCCTTTCCCTTATGCCTTTCTTCCTGAGCCTTCCTCTATTGTGAATCTTGGGCGGTTGGTCCTGGGTCCTCGCCGGCTTGAGGAACTGAATCAGAAACTTCATAGAGCCCGATATGAACCCTGGGTCAGGATCAATGCAAGCGCTTGTTGGTTCATGTTCAACTGAAGATCTTTATTTGTTTTGTTTGTTGCCCCTTGGAGTCCAACCTGCAAGGCGAGGTGGTTTCGGGTACTTGGCATAGTTTTAGGAAGCAGAAGAACAACATTTCGTCAAACCCCGTGGTTCAGATCGATCGCATTTTCATCTGACCCGACTCAACAGTCTCTTGCTGCCCACGAAACAGACCATGTAAGCAACCATCGTGTCATCTAGAAGGTATTAGGCATTCTGGTGCCTCCTGGCTTTTGCCAGCCATAAACTCGACACGGTGGAAACTTAGCACGGCCATGTGGTGATGAGGTTGCCATGGGCTTTGCCCGTGGCTACATGAGGTCAAGCCAACAATTTTAGCAACAAGTCCACCACCAAATGTGTGATTGTATCACTGTCCTGGGCCAAACGGGAATGGATACACGTACCCGCTTCCACGTCCAATTTCCTAAGATGAGCTACTGCCGAACATGCTGCCTGCGGCAATCTTGCAGCACAGCTCACAGGATAGCTATGAACATGTTATGTTGTTGTCGGGCAATGACCTGGCAAGACTGCGTGACGACTGATATTATGAGCGAAGGAGAGCGCGCTCCATAACTTAAACGTAGATCTGCACACTCAAGCTTTACGAAGTCAGGAGACAGATCCTGCGCAAGCTTCTGTGCTCTCTTTTTGCATCTCTCGAAGCACGGAGGTGGATATGCACTAATGGCACGGAGCCACAGCTTATCTTGACAAATGGCTTTGGGACTATCTTGCAACGACAGCTGGCCGGCTAGGCCGCTGCGTACGCTCGCTGTGAAGCTACCACCGCCTTTGGCGCTGAAGTCACAGTTGAACAAGGAACCCCAGCCATGTCAGAGGACTTCATCCAGCACAGTGAGGAGCGCAGGTCTCTCCCTGACGCCATCTCTGTCATGGCCCTTACGTTTGCACATGTTGTACGTCTGCCATCATCCGACAAGTCCGACAAACAAACTGAAAGACTGTGCAAAGAGGACTGTATACAGCTGGGAAGCTAGTGGCGGAAAGGCGTAAGGCAATAGTTTAGTCAGGCGCTTGACATTGCCAATTTCATTCCACGGAATGCTCCACGAACTCCGGATGACATCAGTTAGAAGTTCGGGGTGCTCGACACCTGGGCGCGCCGCACGGAAGCACATAAAAGAAGAGGAAGGGGAACACAGAGAGACCATCCGTGACTATCCCGCACACAAGACAGACCATCAAGGCTCGCACGCGTGCGGTTCCAGGTTTGTTCCCCAACATCGTGACGGACTTGTGAGAGCAGATAGATGCAGCGCAGCTCCAGAAAAATATCGCTTCCATTTTGATCCGTTGCTGGAAGACCACGTGACGCCAAAAGTTCCACAAGCTTTGGCATGGAGTGTAAATAGATAGCCCCGTTCAGGCAGGAATGCTCACGGCGGCAGAGGGCATATTCCATCCCACACACCCAACTGAATTCTGTTCTGCAGTGGGAACACGTCATGTGGCAGCACGCGTCCGTCCTTTCTGTTGGCACCAAGCATCCAGGGCAACGCCTGTGCAGCGCTTCTACCAGGGCCTCCTCAATCTTTCTGCATACCTGATATGATGATGCAGCTCGCAAAGTACAGTTTCAAGGGAGATGTGTCCGTGCACATGCTGGAGCTTCGCGGTATCTTCCCGTTAACTCTGGAAAGGCTGCCAGGGACTGCAAAACCACACATGCGCCTGCTGACTGATCAAACCTGCACGTGCTGCGCAGCAAAAGCAGGAACCCAGGCAGTGTGAGCTGGCTTTCGTTCTTTTTCAGAGAGAGGCCAAGACACAAATGAAAACACAGTTCCGGAATGCAAGTCTCCCGGGTTTTGTAGGTTCTGTTTCGCCTCTGTGTTCTGTGTGTCACGTAGTTCCTACGTGCTGTTGCTTGTACATGTGATGCAAAGCTGGCTTTCGTGCACTTGCTATTATGCGAAGGAGGCCTGGGTGATTCTTCAATGGAGGCTACTACATACTGAACGGTCGCAGCTGTAGCTGCAGCCAACTGCGACCAGAAGTGGAACCAATGCCAAGGAGACTTGTTCACCTGGCCTTCGGGACGGCGTCCTTGTAGAAAACTCTCTCCTCATACTCTTTACATGTCCAGGGGGGTCGATGTTGTGCCATGCCACCTTAGCTCAAAGCACTGACCCAGGCAAGCCAGGACATCCAAGCACTTATTGTACTAAGGCTCTCACAGAGCGCGCAGAAGCGATCCACAACACAACCTCAGGCATCTGACTTTGGAGGATCAGAGCATCCAGCCCAGGCCTGCTAAAAGCGAAGAATTATCCACACGTGACCTTTCCGCAAGCACTTGATGGAGTACATCTCCTGCTGCTGCAAAGCAACGTGCGATCAAGTAAAAACCTAAACGGGATGGAAACCTGGATCCATGTGGTATCTGCAATAGAAAGACAAGCACAGCTTTGACCCTTCCTCCTGTTCGTTGCAGAGGACCAGAAAGCTGCAGCCAGGACATTTGGCAACAAGCTTTCCCGAATCCATGGCTTCCTTCTGCCACTGGACCTCTACACGCAAGTCCAGGTACCTGGTAACTCGCAGGAGGCTAGTCTGTCAAGCCCACGTGCTCTAGAGATGCCCTCAGACGAGATGCTTGGAGAAGAGCTGATCACCCACAGCCCTGTGGATGACACCAGGAGGGATGATGCGCCCCAGCGGCCTGCAGTGCTTACCAAAATTTTGAACGCGGGGCACTAGCCACCTGAAAGGCAAATGCGACGCAGGAGCCGGCCGCAGCCAGCTGGACAGGTACTCATGCGCGTATCATCCACAGTGTGCTCATTAATCAGGACCTCGAGTGCCAAGTCAGACCGGTAGAGTAGTGCCACAAGCCATGACTATGTACGCTTCTAGTAGCGACCCGTGCCTGCAGCCCATGACCCAAACATTCAAAATGTAGCCAGCAGCCACACCGCATGCGTCGGCCCGCATCTTCTTGGCCGATGGGAGAGAAACACAGAGCACACTCCTGGCCTGCACAAACTCGGGAGCGCTGCAAGAATGCTGGTCCACAACGCACATGGCTGCAAGTGATGCTCATTGCACAGGCCTTCCCACAGCGGCAGCTTGTGCTGCATTATCCAATCATCCACGCTTTCACAACTGGAAGTCAGAACCTGAGAGAGCTCGTCGCCCAAACCACCTGGGGACAACTAGGAAAAACCCATGACACTTGTGAATCACTTTTGAACTGGATCTGAGAACGTGAGAAGGCATTTGGATTCCAGGCAACATGTTGAGTTTTGTTGCTAATGACAATGACCAGCACAAATTCGACAACTCCCAAAATCTGCGGTCGGATCACCTGCCACGAGAAACTCAAGCTTGCTCACGGTTGCTTTCAGGCCCAAATCCGCCCAGAGCGCGCTGACAGCATCCTCTGCTCCTGCAAGCCGTGGCAGGGGCGTTTAGGAGGTGTTTGTGCTATGTGGAAATGACAACAGGACAGGTGAAAATGGGCCTCGAACACGTTTGCGGTGCAACGGCCTTACCTTGCCCTATTTCAATGTCCCACGCTTCCTTGAATACTAAAACGGCTACATGCCTCCAAAGTTAGCTTGTACGCTCACACAAGAAGCCCATAGCATGGCCTGCTTGGCCCCATCGCCAGCGAGCCTCCTGAATGATCGCTTTGACCACCTTGCGTCCAAAAGGCATCCGCAGACAAACCTTTGATTAAAGCCTAAACAACCCCAAAGCCTAAACCATGAACAGTCCCTTACCCTACGGCTACCCTAACAAATCATAAACATGCCCAAACCCCAACTGCCAAAATTCGTAGACCCCTGAAGGCTGAAACTGTAAAACCATTAGAAATCCTTGAAAAAGCCCATGCAAGCCCGTAAACCTTAGGAAGCCCAAACCCAGAACCCTATAGAATCCTAAGCCCTAAACCCAAACCGCAAAGCCTGAAAGGAAGCCCAAACCCCTGGCTGGACATCCCTTTGGGGGACTCTGCTACTGCAACTGCCACCGCGCAGAAATACTGGCAATGGGAGTCGCAATAGTATAGGAGTGGTAGAAAATCTGCCTGACTAGTGTTTCTTTGAAAGCGTCAGCCTGACTTTGTGTCAACTTCTCCTGCTTGGAAGAATCCACATAGTCGAACCAGAGGATGTTCTGGAGAATGTCTCCCAGCTGCGGGGGACCATCTTGTATCCCCTCCAATCCAGAAGCAATCTCATCAGCCAATCCCGTCTCAACAAACTGTGATGCATCTATAGCACAGTCACCGAGCAGCTGCCATGGCCACCTCATCTTCAGCCACTGGCGCACTGCACAGGTAAACTGAGGAAAGTCGTCCTCCAAGGCCGTGCGAAGCTGCTGCCGATTCATCTTGGGTGGCGTTTCCTCCAGCGACACTTTGCGCAAGGCACGCTTGGTGCCCAGATCCTTGTTGAGCTGGTACGCCCCCCATATGTTTATGGTGTAGGTCATACCTCTGGCAAAGTACTCAAATTCTAGCGCGTCTTGGAGCTCGTGCGTCTGCAACTGAAGTGCTAAATCGTCTTCCACCAGAACCCACCCCAAATCCAGCTCGATCTCCCACAGGACTCGTCGCATGGATCTTGCTTTGCCGGTGGCTACGTTGATCTGCTCCATGGTTTGGAAATTGAACATGTGTTCCTGACCATTGCTGGCCACGTATTGAAGCGTGCTGTCGCCTCGTTGAAGAGCGCCTGCAAGCTTGGCGCAGAGACCCAGGCCGAACGGAACCCATTTGCCTCCACGGAGCAACTCCCACTGCGCACTTTTTGCATTCATCTGTGAAGCCCAACGGTCAAACCACTCCGTTTGCGCACGCGCATCTTGCCCAATTGAAGAAACTGTAGTTGAGACTTCGTCCACTTTGGCAGGCATTCTATCAGAATGGCAAGATGGTGTTCCTGCTGCTTCGCTCAGCTCTGCTGCGGTCGTCTCAGTTTCTGACTTCTCTCTGCCTTTTGCCCGCCAGGCTACACAGTGATGGCACAGAGAGTAGTCACACTGCTCGCAGCGAGACCACTTCAATGAAGCCTGGCCATGACAAACATCTGCATGTTGAATATTGTTTAATCAGTCCTGTTGATAGATGTATAATTGCACAACTTAAGGTTCTGACGATACTGGGATTCCGATGTTTTGATGGCTTTTTGGGAGCCGTGAGATTTCCTTCATCAAAACAGGTGTCCCTGTCTGCCTGCCCATTCCCTCCCAAGACAGTGCTTGACTTGGCTGCGACAGCCAAGGTCGGCTTTGACATGACTGCCCCGCACGATGTCCCAATCCGAATGCACTCTTCCGATACCAAGCGACCGCTAAACTTGAAGCACAGGGGGGGAGCACAGGCTATGCTAGTCATGACGGTCAACAATGAAACCATGACGACCACAATGTCAACCCTTGACAACTTGAGACAGCTGGGGCGCCTTGGCATACGATTGTGCGTAGCAGCCCTGGCAGGCAAACGTCGTTCTGAACCTGTCGTGTCCTGAGCAGCCCACAGCAGTTGTCAAGGCGGCTGCACGCGACCGCGATATCGAAAGCGACCACAGAGTTTCAGCGGCACCCTCTATATTGCAGATCTACCTGGCCTTCCGACAGCGTTCTTCTGTGACCCTCTTCGTAAACCCCCCTTCCTCAACCCACGGACTGGGGAGGCCCAAGGCACGCAAGAGCCTGTGCCCCTCTGGGCACATAACACTGAGCTCAGCAAGGAGGTCCTGGACATGCCAAGCATCATGAAGGGAGGCCGCTGCTGACTTCAAATGGCGAGAATTGGGTCCGTAGCCTCTTACCGCTGTTACATCAAGCAGCTAACCGCCGGACATGGAACGAGCAAAGCTCGAACGTGCAAACGTGCCGCAGGCCTGTGCCTGCTGCAGCTGCGCTGCATCAACGGCATCAAGGCGCCCTGCCTCCTGCAGGTGGCTCCCAGCAAGGATTGCTTTTCTCATTGCTGGCAGGGCAGGGGCAAATGGTTTGCCTAGACTTCTCAGCCCTGCCCTCCTCCAAGGCAAGTTGAAGGGCATCTGCATCCTCAGTTCCCGAAGAGAGAGGGGAGGGAAGGGAGAGGGAGGGAGAGAGAGAGAAACAGAATGATTGCAGAACCGATCACTGTAAGGGAACTGGGCGTCTACATCTGCAGCTGAAGGACGAAGTTGCTGCTCGCCTGCGCCAAATCTTCAGCTGCCTGGAGGACCTCGAGCCGTGCCTGAGCGGCGGCCACGGCTGGATTTGTAGCCTCCATGTGCCTCAGAAGAGAGAAGGACGGCTCGGGGTTTGCAATAGTGTTGCAGTTGTTCTACATCGGCACTCCCTTTGCGTATGTGTTACGGTTCAAGCCATTGCTTGGAGACCCTCCTCAATGAGATTGGTTTAGGGCCCTTCCCAAATCTAGATCATCCCCTTTAAGCTAAGAGCTCGCAGAACCATGGGAGATTCAGGATGTCCATCTTGAATTTTCTGGGGACCCGATTTGGAGAGGGGGCGCCTTAGTAACAATAGTCATAAGTTAAGGTGCCCGAGACATGGAGCAAACCCTTAGACTCGTATCGCCTACATGAGGAGCTGGCATTTGAGGCTATGAGGCACTTTGGTAAACGCCAAGGTGAGCAATGACATTGAAATAAATTGACCTGCAAGCATCAGATGTTGTTGGTGGCAGTCCTGTCCGATTGAGGATAATTAGGCCAGGGCACGCTTCAGCACAGCCTGCGATAGCTGAACGGATGTCCTTGCGGAAGACTGCAAGGCGATCCCCACAGCAAATTCGCATGCTGAATGCTCGCTGATCGCATGGTTGCAGGAATGAGTGCCGAACCCAACACCCTGCCTGCAATACCGCCCATGTGACGGGGCCCAGGGGCTCACGTTTCCCTGCTAAAAGATCACCCTCAGGGCTTCAGGCAAACTCTCATCCACGCATAGGTCCCTCAGCCACCAGTCTTTGCGGGGTCTTGCACAGCTGTGCCAGGAAGGCACGGTAAAACTCTCCGATCACCGCGCTCGAATCATGTGATGTGACGTTGTACTTGTACTTGACTTGCAGCCACACGAGAAGAAATCGAAGTGTTCAAGTCTCAAAACGGAAGACCAAGGTTCTAACATTCGGGGTCCTGAGGATGCGCTGTCTCAAGTGCTTCGTTCAACCTGCCGGGAGGTTTACAGAAGAGGAGTGCTAGCAACTGAGTCTGCTGCAGGGGACATGACTGACATCTTGACGACCATAGCAATCCAAGCCCAGTGGCCGGCGCAAAGCCAACAGCTGATCCAGTCGCAAATGGGCAAGCCCAAGTGCTTCTGGAGCTTCCAGGTCGTTCTCCTGACGCACCAACGTGCATCAAAAGTTTGAACAGCAAACCTTGCGCAAATGACACAGCTTCATAAAAACTGGCAGCTTAATGCTTGGCACCCTGAGCCTGAGGGTGATGGTATGTGACGGCTAATTCAACATCAAAAGCTGTGAGCTTGCAGGACCAAATGAGCAGAACTGGGGCGATGCAATCCTCAGCGCGATTTAGCCTGTCCTGGAGCAATTCGATACTAGTGCCTGGTCAGGTGTGCCACTCAAGCACTGAAGAAGATCTGCAAGCACAGTAGTCCCTCTCTCTGGTGTTACGCTTGAAGGCTCGAATCTTGCAGCTATCATCATACCAGCTCAAACTTGGAGGCCTTCAGATGCTCTGTCAAGCTCCAAGGACAGCTCCCTGAACATCTCGAGCCGCTGAGACAAGATCTGGCACCGTGTCCTGACCTGAGCAAACATGCTGGACTCCATCCAGTCAGCTGGTGGCCGTCATCACCGCTTCTACCAAGCTCCAAGCCATCAATGCATCATTTGTTTGAGCAGCAGCGACGGCTTCCTCCAGCATCTGCACGGAGCGGTAATCACAAGCGGACTCCAGCTGCATGCAGAGCTCCAGCTGCTGCTCTGCATGCCTACAGGGAAAGGTAACTGCTAGGACCGATCGGACATGCTGCCTCTGGCGTTGAGAGGAAAGCCGTAGAGCCCGTTCGAAAGTCATGCCTGGCACTGGGCGAGTTGACCTTGGCGAAATTGAGCGCCTCAAGAGCTTCGCGTAGTCGTTCCACGCTTGATCCTTCCAACGCCAGGCTCAGCTCACAAGTCAGGCAGACCTGGAAACCACACCTGTTGTCTCAGGGAAGGAATGAGACTCTCACGGATGATTTGGCCCCGGTAAGTGACTTGAAAGTAATTCAAAAAGGCTTCTTCAATGGTTACTCCAATCCACGTTTCCGCACACGCCCATTGAAAACTCCCAAAGGGCACCACTGATCCGCACAAGCCGCAGCCGGCGGCATCGAAAGCTCGCCGTCTTCTCAACGCACATGCGCCACTGCACTTTCCACAAGGCCGCGCATACAAACCAAAACGCGCATCGTCACCTTCCACTTTTTACAAGGTCAAAACGTTTAGCAGCTCAGAAAAAACTGCCAGGCTATGACGCGAAAGCAATACTGTCTACAGCACGGCTCTAAAGCATCAGCACCTCGCCATGCACTGCCCGCACAACCCATCAGCACATCTGGGCCGGATGGATCATGGCTCACGCGGTTGCCCTTAAGGCAGGCCAGCGTGAGTCATCTGAGCAGGCTAAGGGTTTCGGAGCCAGCGGCGAATGGCATATAGCACATGGGTGGGGAATGGAAGGAAAGAGGCAAACGGCTCAGCAGCCAAGTTTGGAAGAGTGGGGAGGGAACGGGGAGACGGAGTGAGCGAGAGCGAGAGAGACAGGAGGGGAGAGACCCAGCACACAAGTCCAGCACGAAATCTGCAGTCTGGTAGTTGATTTTTCTTCGCCGGGCTTCGCTTTCAAAGGACGATATGAGGCGCAAAGCAGCATGCGCTTCCGCTCAGTCACTCAAGGAGGCTTTCACATGTATGGATGAATCGCTTTGATCCCGTTCCTTGCAGCAAGACACAGCGATCATGGGCCATCACCGGGTGATTGACACACTGAAAAATACTGAAAAGACCAAAACCAACCTTTCCATCAAGGAGTCAGCACTTGCTCGTAGGTCTTGGCATAAGTTGCATCCTTTTTGGGCTCCAGCACCATTACCTTGGAATCTGTCGCAGGTACCGTCTGCAAACCAAGTTACCTCCACCTCAAGGGTCCGCAGCACTAGATGGGTTGTTCCTATCGCTTGCTGACCTTTGCGACACTCGGTCATGAAGCTCCTCTTAGAACGTGTTATCACGGCATTCTCTGGCAGGTGCGTGCCTCATGGCTTCTCAGCAAGGCACCAAGCTGATGGGGCGTCGTGTCTGGCAGGCCGCACCCAGCTGATGTCGTGAGGACACATAGCAGTAGTACACGCCTTTTTCCTGCAAGAATATGGAGTGGCAGATCAGCTGCTGGGTAAGAGATGGAGGAAATTGCGCTTCAATGGAGGCAGCCCAATAATCTCGCATCTACAATTGTAGGTCTAGAAAACAGTGCAACAAGCTGCCAAAGTCTGCTTGGCACTGCAGTACGGCGCACGTGCCGCAATTGACTTATGTACCAGTCCTTGCTTAGTTTGCTCTGCCGTAAAGGCCAAGCATAACAGTCTCAGCAATGTCCTCAGCCAAAAGCGGCACGTGGGCGAAAACGTCCTCAGCTCGCATATACTTGCTAAAGACCGAACTTTTCAATGTGAGCATGTTTAGGTGCTTGGACACAACGCCAGATATGCAGGTATGTCTCCATCGGAAAGATATCAGCTGCCTTAGTTGCAGCGGTCAGACAGTACCTACATCTTCAGGGCTGGAGCCGCCAAGGCAGGCACCAAGAAACAAACACCCTTCTGGCCCTTGCGCATGGCTTTGGTGACCTCTGGAACTCCACGCCTCAGCGGGTGTGAAGACATGGCCCTGCTCCTGCTGCTGCTTACGCGCACAGGAGATTCAAGTTGCCTGGTCTGCTTCTCCGACACTGCTTTCTTCAAGAGCTTCAGAGAACGATCAAGCAGCTTGTCCTTGAAATTGCACGAAGCTACAGCATAACATGCGTGCGCCAAAGAAAGTCAACATCTTCAACCACAGGTCAGCCGTATTTAGATCGATCGATGCTTCAGGCTGTTCTCACTTGGCTTTACAAATAATTTGTTGGCCGGACACTTTTGGCATGGCCCTAGCAGCCCTAGCACACTGATGCAAAGTGGCTCATGCGTGGCACTGCTGGACTTAACTGACTGTAGAAAGCAGCCAAGCTTCTGTAATGAGAGGGTCTGCCAAAGGTGAAACATAGAGCGCTTTCCGCTCCTCCTCCCAATGCGGCTATGCACTCAGCAACGCAAACAGTAGGCATGAACGATCTCCCGGACGCAGCAGCACAGAAGCAGGCCAAACAACAGAAAATCAACAGAGGTTCTTTTGCATGGCACTTTGTCTGAAGCGAGGCTGCGAAAGTCGCACCCCACGCCGCGGAGCAGGGTCTCGGGAAAGTCTGTACGACGAAATCGGTAGGCTTGTCTAGGAATTGAAGGGTGCCAAGTTTCATGTACAGGCGCACAGCTTCTTGGGGCGCAATGTTGCCAGGCACCCTTCTCCCTCTGCAAGCCTCAGAGGGAGGCTCCGAGCCCAAGTGGCTTGCGGGCTTCCTTTGTACACGGGTCCCGGCACTGCAGCACTAATCTCAGGCGTACAAAGCGGGTTCTGAATGCTGTCTCTCAGCATCTGCAGCAACTGCATCCCAAAAGGCACAGATCTCGGGGCGGCCATGCGGAGTATCTTCGGCTAGCGCCCCACCCGGCAGTGATGCATTGAGTACTATGTTCCTGAGCTGATCAAGCAGAAGAAGTGACAGGTGAGGAGGCTTCGTAGGCACCGTGCGAGCCCAGAGTCTGCGTGACTTCACCACCAGAAGCAAATTTGGGCCAGGGCCCTTTCGTGTTGCAGTGCTCTCTGCAGTTGGGATCGCCGCTGGCCGCGACGTTCGTCCAAAAGGTGCCCACTGTCCGGGCAAAGTCCCACCTGGTATGCAATACAGCATCATGGCCCGAACACGAGAAGATCCACTAAAAAACAGAAGCCCAACAAACACTCCAATTTCTTGCGCCTACTACCATAGCAAGGGTACAGAGGCACCTTAAGCCCTGAGATGTTTATTCTATGAGCTTTGAGATGCGGCCAAGGGTGCTCCTTGTCATTGAAGTATGCTCGGTAGCCTTCGTGACCGAAACGATCTGGAGCATAGCATGCCTCGCAGCGCGTGAGGTGCGGGCAGTCGGGCGTGGTCAGGCCCCAAAGGCCACAGCAGCTGCCATCCTCCATGAAGTTTGGCTGCCCGAGCACAAAAGTCACTTCATCTTGGTGTGCCGCGCCAAGGTATGGCAAATGATAATTGGGTACGGCAGTACAGTTCGGATTGCCAGTGTACCTCAGGGTCAAAACCAAGCAGCACCTCCAACGCTCTGCACGAGCTGCTACGAGACAGCGGATGACTGAGCCATAGGCCAGTAGTCAAAGCGGTATGTGAAGGCACGCCCAGGGTGGACCTTGTTGAACAATGAGGCGCGGTGTCGAATTTGACAGTGGCTCTGGTCCGACTCCACGTTTCCAAGTTGGTGCACATTCCTGAGACAATGGCTGACATGCGCCTGTCAGTTTGGCCTCTACCTCCTTCGGTAAGTACTACTGCACACCTGTTGGAAAGGGCACATATATGCGGCAACCCGCTTCTCATACCCCTCCTCATACGCGGGGGGATAGCAATAATGGCCATGTAAGTAATACTATAGCAGCAAGTTCCCTGGACACACCCTGTCTCACAAAATGAATCTGAGAGAGCCCAAACAAATAGGCCGGGCAAAGAGGGACCCCACCCCAAAGATCCATCATTGGGGGGATATTGCGGCATCACTTCCAAGTATCTAACCTGACCATCGTGCACATGCGATGCGGTTCCCATTATCGAACTAAAACTCCTTGACTCAGGCTCAATTCGTTTTTCCAAAGACAACATGCAGCCGAACAAATGCAGGGGTAGAAAGCCCAAGGATATCGCAGGCATGCCATTGATCTTCCAGCAACTCCGAAGGGCAGACTGCGTACATCTGCATCTGAGCGGCAAGATGCTGCTCCCTTGCACTGGCGGGTAAAGGCTAATAGCCTGCAGGGCCACCCCATGCAAGCTCCAAAGGTAGCATGCAATCACAAATAAGCAATGCGTCTCCTTGGCCACATGGCGCGGGCCAACTCGCGAAAAAAGCTGAAATCCTGGGCATAAAACGAAACACCATAAACGTCCACATCAAGCGAACGGCTACGTGCTAGGTCCTACGCGCAACCATCGCCATGAATACAAGTACTTTGCTGTCTCATCTGTCTCACAATGCCTCTCTGTATAGTTTGCATGGGCTAGCTCAATTTGGTCCAGATACCATATTGCGTGGCCGACAATGGCTTGAGCGCGCCATCCGGTCGATCATTTGGCTGATCCAAGCCGTCCTGCCAGCTGCGCTAATCTGAGTTGTCCAGCCATCTTTGAGGCAACAACTGCAGCCAGCTCCTTAGTGTAATCACGGAAAAGGAACAGGTTGCTGTCGTTCGTCTGCGCCCCCAAGACAACGGTTGCTTCGTTGACGCGGCCCAAGCGCAGCAACTCCTACGACGGTTCTCAGGGGCAGATCCACTCGGAAGGCCATCTCACAGTTTTGGCCAGCCATGGGAACCCTGTCCTGCGGTGCAAGTGGGAAGGTGACACCATCGGTGACAGGAGACCAAGGGGCCGAGTAGGTCGTCATGGTCAGATTGACTGCAGGAACCTTATTGAAAGAGGCTGGCGCATCCCTGAGGCCATGCTCTCTGAGGGAAGCTCGGAAGGTTGCCAAGCAAGCCACAAAATCTGCCAAGGAGCACGAGCCATGCAAGTCTTGTTCACCTGGCAAGCACGACATCCAGGCTAGGCTGGTTCCGTGCAACGTCTTGCTGGCCTTGTTTGTTGCTGTGACGCAGCCAAGGCTGGATGCAATCTTCGTGGCGCTAGCAAGTGCGATGGAGAGGTTCATGGCGCTGAGGCTTCCTCGAGGCACAGCTACTCAGCTACAGGCTGTAGCAGCTATACTCCAGGTATGAGTGGTGATTCTGCTTCAGCTGAAACCATCTACAACTGCGGTGGTGATTTGCGGCTGCTGTGTGAGACCAGATCTCCTCTGCCTCTGCTGCTGCTGCTGCAGCTGCTGCATTGCTGATTGTCATGCTGCTTCGGCGCAAGAGAAAACATTTGTATTTTATGCAGGACAGCGCTCTCAGATTCAGCGTGAAAGCTCTGCGTGCAAGACAATGGCTAGACATAGAACAAAAAGCAATCGACTTGAAGGACAATAAGAAAGAGTTCCGGCTGGTGGCCGTGTTGAGTTGCTGTCGCCCATGCGCTCATTCTAAGAAATGCAGGCCTCTTCTCCTACAATCCAAGTCCACTTGCTAGCAAAGCCACCTGACTCGCTGATGGCACCCTGGAAAAGGCCGGCGGACTGAGGGGAGACATACTGCAGCTCCACGAGGCCTCGCAGTACAGCAAGCCATATAAGTCGCACTTCAAACAATTGTAACGGTGCAACGGGTCGAAAACGCGCGCCGGGAGGCGCGGGAGGTATGCAGCAATGTCAAAATCACTGGCAGGCGCGGCATATTCTGCAGTGCGCGCAGTCCAGGAGGTCGGGCAGGAAGCAGGAAAAATTGCGAGAAAAATCCGGCAAACTGCGCTGCCGCTGTGGGTTCGCGCGCACGCA